TCATACATAAGATCAACTTGCACAAATTTCTAATGTTTCTCTACACCAAAGGTTCTCAACCAGGAACAATTTTGCCTCTAAGGGTAGGGTTGATAAATTTAACAAATAAAATTTAAAAGGATACCCAGTTAAATTTGAATTCCAGAGAAGCAATAAATATTTAGTAAAACATATCCCATGCAATATTTGGGACAAAATACTGGGTGTCAGTATTGTATATGGCAAACCCACCGCCAGGGGATGTTTGACAATGTCTAAAGACTTTTTATAACAGCTGGGGGAAAGGCACAATTAACACCTGATGGGCGTGACCAGGGATACTGTTATATCCTACCATGCACAGGACAGCCTCACAACAAAGGCTTATCTCCCCCACCCCCCTGCCCCAAATGTGAATAGTGCCAAGGCTGAGAAACCTTCAGTAACCAATCAGACAATACAACAAAAATCAAGGACCATGCACAGCAAGTATAACTGTCTGGGGATGGACTTAACAAAGAATTCCCAAACCCTCTACAGAGAAGACTTTGAAACTCTGAAAAAAGGCATAAAAGAGTATATGACTGCCTGGCCACTGTGGCTCAGTGGTTGAGCATTGACGGGTGAACCAGGGCACATGCCTAGGTTTCAGGTTCGAGTGCCAATAGGGGGCATGCAGGAGGCAGCCGATCGATGATTCTCTCATCACTGATGTTTCTATTTCTATCTTCCTCTCCCTTCCTCTCTGAAATCAATAAAAATATATTTTTTTAAAAGATTATATAACTACACAGAGAGATATTCTATGCTCTTGTGAACACATGAAAGGTCAACCCCGCCCTCCCCCCCCCAAAAAAATCGACAAATTTATTGCAACTTTAAGCTGATTTTTTTTCAGACATTCAATAAACATATTCTACAGTTTACATAAAGGAATAAAGGGCCATGCGTAGCATAGTCGAATTTGAGAAGAAAAAAGGGAAGACTTGTCCCGCTAGATATTAAGGCACACTAGAAAGTCAAGGTAATAAAAACAGTCTGTTACTAGTTCAAAATAAACAAAAGAGACGAATGGGGCAGACAGGAGAACTCAGAAACTGACCCTTTCGAACCTAATATTGTATTTCAGAATTAGTGGGCAAGGGCAAACTAACTCTGATGGCAAGAAAAAACACCATGAAACTGGGTCCTACCTGATATGACATTAAAGATGGACTCCCTAAGGGTTTTACATGAACCCTTTAAAACACAAAATAAAACTATAAATAAAAATTAATAGAAGACAACATTAGCAGGCTAAGAGTGGAAAAGGTCAAAAGTTACAAACTATAAAAGCAAAAGCGATTGGTGAAATTGATTACATCCAAAGAAAGGATTCCTGGTCAACAAGGGATGCCATGGACAAAAGTAACAATTGAGAAAGATACATGCAATGCGTAAGGCCGGCGAGGGTCTGATATCTAGATCTAAGGAGGGACTCTGGCAAATCATCAAGGAAAAAGAACTGTGGCTGAAAAATCAGCAAAGAATACGAACAGGCAGTTAACCGAAGAAAACCTAAAAGGCTAAGAAATACATGAAGAGATGCTTAAACTCCTAGTTAATTAGAGAAATGCAAATTCAAACAACCATACAACCTCACTTTACACTCAAGACATTAATAAAAGTGAGAAAGCTGGATAATGCCAAGCATGGCCAGAGGTCTGCTGCTGGGGGGGTGGGTGACTGGGGCAGCTTTTAAGAGAGAGCTCCGGCAGGAGGGGGAGGGGTCAGATTAAGCAAAAGCCCAACCTATAATCCAGCTCTCCTGCTCATGAGTACAGGCTCAGCAAGATTATCTCAAAGATGATTAAGGGGACGTGTGCAAAGATGCTCTTGTGATTATGTCTGTGTAGCCAGAGCCGAGTCAATCCCCCTGTCCATCACTGGGAGCGTGGGTAGAAACAGTGTGCGCACACGGTGAGATAGAAGCCGTAAGGACAAGTAATGGATTATATGTGCACACAGCAGCCGCCAGGAGTCTTTCAAAGCATGATGCATGGGGGGGGGGGGGGGGGACACACAAAGTAAAACTTTTAGCCAATAGCATTCGGTAATTTTTTAAAAAACATGTACACAAAACACAAATTGCACATCTACACAGTGACATGGTTGCAGATTGCGAGTGGAAAATGGGAAAGAGGAATGAGGACAAAAGGCAGTAAGAACATAAAAAAGCAAGAAAGGTTCTTGTCAAAACTAGAAAATGCCAGGAACTGGGGAGGAGTATGAGTAATTTAGCCTTCTGCACCTCTGGCCCAAACTAAAGAAAACAAAGCAACAAAGAAAGACCGGAAGTTGCCCTAGCTGGTTTGGCTCAGTGGATAGAGCATTGGCCTGAGGACTGAGGGTCCCGGATTTGATTCCAGTCAAGGGCACATGCCCGGGGTGGGGGCTCGATCCCCCATAGGGGGCATGCAGGAGGCAGCAGATCAATGATTCTCTCTCATCATTGATGCTTCTATCTCTCTCTCTCTCCCGCTACCTTCCTCTCTGAAATCAATAAAAATATAATAAAAAATGGTTTTAAAAAAAAAAAAAAACGGAAAGAGGTGGGGGGGTTTCGCAAAAGTGGGAAAAGCTTTTTCCAAGCTGCACAGAACTAGGCTGTGGGCTGTCCATTTGTTTGAAAGAATGATCAACCTAGTGGTGAGGGGCCCACAGAGGAGGGGAGGATTGGGCAGGGAGGCAGCCCCAGGGGCTTTGAGGGTCTCTGGTGCAGAAACTGGGGTTAAGTTATACACTGCAATTCCCTCCGGAGTACTCTGTCCGCATGAAGTGAAACCAAGGGTCCTTATGACTTCGATTAAATTTAGTTTTAAATCCTAGCCCTAGAAATCCTCTCTCTCTCTCTCTCTCTCTCTCTCTCTCTCTCTCTCTCTCTCTCCTATATATAAAAGCCCAGTGACAGAATGAGAAGGACCAGAATGACCAGAACAACTGTGGCCCCTCACCCTGGCTGGCCCCACCTCCCAACGGGCCCCCCCACCCCAAATGGGGGCTCTCATCAGGGCAGGTCACTTGGACCACACCAGTGCATGAATTCGTGCACCAGGCCTCTAGAGCAGCAGTTCTCAGCCTGTGGGTCGCGACCCCTTTGGCAGTTGAATGACCCTTTCACAGGGGTCACCTAAGACCATCCTGCATATCAGATATTTACATTACGATTCATAAGGGTAGCAACATTACAGTTATGAAGTAGCAACGAAAATAATTTTATGGTTGGGTCACAACATAAGGAACTGTATTTAAAGGGCCAGAAGGTTGAGAACCACTGCTCTAGTGTGTGTGTGTGTGTAAACCATATATATGGTTTCCACCTCCCCCAACACACACCCTCCAGATAACCAGCAACCTCCCAGGCAGCAGAAGACAGTAAGACTAATGGGCACAGGGTCGGGGCCTCTGGCAGGCTAAGGATAACATCTTGACCTAAGGTATGTTTCAGTGCCTGAGCCCTAAGGTGGAACCATCTCTTGGCTACTTTCCCATGAGACCAGACAGAGCGACGCTGGGAATAACCTAGGAACTGTCCTCAAGACCTGCAAAACTTATTCATTATCCTTACCTCACCTCCGACCAATCAGCCCCCGGCACCACCCGAACCCCTAACCCACAGTGTCTGTTATTTTGCCCTCTGTAATCTGTGATCTACATGCCATGGGGGAGTTCGGGCTTTTGAGCATTAGCTTCTGGCAGTACTGTGTCTCTGGGAAGAGAAATGTCTGGGGTCAAGGCCAAGTTTTGGCCACAGGCCAATGAGGAAAGAGGGAAGAAACAGAATGGAGTCCCTATCGTCAAGCTAACAAAACCACTCAGAATAAAATAGCCAATATTTCTCAGTGTCCAGTGTTTGGCTCTGCTAGTGCCAAGTGCATGAACTCTTTCTGTTCTGCAACGTAAGGGTCTATGCCCACCAGGGGCCCCAGTGAGACTGTGAGAGCAGCTCTTCCTCAGGGCTCTGCAGTGGTGGCAGCAGTGACCTGGGCAGGTAGGTGCTACCAAAGCTGCCCTGAGCGGCCTTGGACTGAGGCTGGCAGGCCAAGAGGAGCTGGATGCCTAACTCCCAGAGAAGGAAAATCTGAAGGGCAGCCACCAAAGTAGAGGCTTCTTCATGCCCACAGTCCAGCCAAGCCAAGGAGACATTCAGGGAAACACATTATACCTCATGTCATGTATTTTAATTTAAAAAACAAAACAAAACACAGAGTCATAATATACTGCTCTGTAACATACTTTTGGCAACATTTTCTGTGATACTGAATATTCTTCTAAAACAATACCACTGTTTTATAGGATACATGCCAGTTACTTATTACTCAGCCCCAGGCCCATCCCCCCTGCCCTGAGTCACAGGCACCGTATTTCCCAGATTCCCTTTGCCAGCTGGCGTCCTGCTAGGCTCAGCCCATGGGAGACCCTCCAGAAAATGAGAGAGGCAGAGGGAGAAGTTCAGGTATTTCTAACCATCCCCTTCCTGCTCTGAAGAAGTTAGGAAGGATTATTTCATTGTCCAGAACATCAGGTATCTGGAAGATATCCAGAAGCTAAAAATGCAGAACTGATTCTTCTCAAGAAGAATGGGAAGAAAATAACAGAGCTATTTGCCTTAAGAATAAAGGTTCCGAAGCAATGAGTCTGAGTCCTTTGGTTAACATCAGGGTAATATTGCCCCAGAAAAGTTTCTACAGAGCAGCTAGGGCTGGGATTTCTTCACTATAAAAACTCTCAACCTTTCTTTTTCTCTAGAATACTCTGGGTTTTAGCTGGTAGTGTTTTCTGAACTGCAATCCGCTTTAAGGCCCTTGAATAAAACTTGGTCATTTAATTCTGGCGAAGCCGCCTGCTTCAGGGGTACACCTGTCCAAGGACATGCAGTCAAAATCGTGACACCCATACATGATTCATACTGGCCAGGAAGTACGTATATGCCCCAAACATGTGACTGCCCTCTTGCAAATACTCATGAATCACACATGGAGTATTTTGAAAAATGTTAACATTTATTAATAATACTTAACGTCACATTGTTAATGCAACTAATTCTTTATGGTACACAGCAACATCTTCACTAGACCGAGTGCTCGAGGATTTGAGACAATCCGCTACTCGGCACATCCCAGTCCAAGATTGAGATTCCCTGTACTTACATCCGGCAGAGCAGCATCAGTGAGGAACAGTCACCTAGTTGTGGGAACACAGACACTCAAAGCGCACTTGCCAGTGTTCCTTTCTGGAAACCTACCACACGTCTTTCATAGCCACACACAGCTCGACCTTTAAAAAATGAGCACTTTCCTAGAAGAAGCCTAACTGTCCAGTTTAAAGGTTAAAGTTCATCTCTATTTCTTGGGCATCCTTTAGTGACACACAAATCTAGGCACTGTTCTCAATACGAATTTGATAAATGTGCAAGAATTGGGTGCCGTTGAAACTTGTCTCTTCCATCTTGCTGTCCTGACCCTTGTGTCCTAGTCCACGGTGTTGCAAGGCCATTCCTTCTTTATAATTCAGTATTCAGGCTCAATGTGTGTGGGCCTCATATTTTAGGGATGAAGTGGGCTTAAGGATTCAGAATTACCTTCACTCCTGGAGAGGAGGGTATGAAAGGTTTTATACTGCTTCCCCCCAGCAATTTGGAATAAATACTGTGTAAAAACAGCTCCAGCTAAAGAAACCCTCCACACGCTCCTTGTAAAACATTTACAAACCCAATTTTGCTAGGACAAACTCTCCCAAGTGCTGTCCCCGAGGCTTCATTCCATTGTTTATTTCATTATTTTGGTTTGTTATCAACTGTCAGGCACCATTTTTTTTAAAATTGTTTTTTGGTGGCTTCTCTTGTCTTGTTAGAGAGCTTTAAAAGTCTACTGAATGCCTTAAGAATAAAGGTTCCAAAGCAATGAGTCTGAGTCCTTTGGTTAACATCCGGGTAATATTGCCCCAGGAAAGTTCCTACAGAGCAGCTAGGGCTGGGATTTCTTCAACCCATAGGCCCAGCCTCCTTCACTCTCTCTTGCTTTCCACATTCCAGAGTCTGCAGGGAAAGGAGGGACCGGGAGGGAGTTGCTTGGCCATTCATTCACCATGAAGAGCTTCCCTTCTCTTCCCACAGGCGAATGAGGTATTTCTACTAACCAATCAGCATCTTCTCTTTCCATCCTTTAACTACCCATCTACTAGCAGGTCAGGTCTGAGGAGACCCTGTGTATCTATATACATGGCAAACTAACATATAAATACATACATACAACCGATCATTACATCCAGTATCCAGATGAGGAAGCACATGTGCTTTGTAGAACTAAATAAATTTCAAACATAAGTTAAAATGAAAATACAGTGTTTACACTTCGGTAGGAAACGTTTTTTAAAAACAGACCAAGAAGTCCCCCACCCTCCCCTCAAGGTCCATTGCCCATGGATGACTGGTGAACCCACAAGCAGATGCGACAAGTCCATGCGCACGACGTGTCAGCTCGTGGCTTTGGTATTGCACGCTCAGACTCAGGACGCTCCAGTTCCAGGAACAGCCACCCACCAGGCCATGCTTGCGGATGAGGCTGAAGAGGGGCTTTCGCATGGCCATCCAGGACTTCCCTCCATGGCGCCCCTCCCCTCCCCCATGTTCTGCCAGTGGGAGAACCAGGCTCAAGTTAGTGGAGACCTCCCAGGTCTCTGAGAAACAGTGCCAACCTCCGTGCTGGGAGATGTTCTCCACCTAGAAATACCATGTTCGGGGTCCAAGGTGAAGCAGCCGTATTTTTTCATTAGTGTCCCCACCCTGCAGGATTGTACAGGGACCTGGAAGTTGCCTGGGGGGGGGGGCGGGGGAGGGTGGTGTATCTAAAGGTTAAAATTTGTTCTAAGTTTTAAGAGAACCAAGGGGAATGGTTGTGACTAATGTGAACAAATCTGTACTTCCAATGGCATTTTTCTCAGGAGGGCCAAGGTGTGGGCACCAAACTCTACAGTGAGGACACACAGAGGCAAAACGCAGGCTGGCAGGGTCCCCTCTGCCAAGGGCGAGCTAAGAGTCTGTCTCTGACACAGGGGATGGCATCTCAGTTGAAAGCAGGGGCGATGGGAGCCAGAGGAAGTCCCTGCCGAGGCTCCGGGGGCCCTATCGCTGCCCGGCCTCGCGGATGCGACAGGCCACCGCGGTGATGAGCGCCGCCCCCTTCCCGCTGCCGTCCTCCGACTCCAGGAAGGACACGTCGCACCTCGGAGCCAGGTCCTTCACCGTCGCATGCATGACTTTGGCAAAGCTGGAGGTTGGGAAGAGACAGGAAAAAAGCCTTAGTCACGGCTGCTCTGTGTCGCAGAGATGAGACCCTGTGAAGTGACGCTGGAAACCCAGGGGTACTTAAATGGGGAAAAGAATGACAGCTACCGTGTACTAAATAAACACTGACTACAAAGTACATGTCAGAAAACAGGCGTGGAGCCACTAGCGAAATGCCCAAATTCTACATCAGAGCAGGCGAGTGGAGGGCTGAGATCGAAACCTCTGAGATTTGGGCGAGTTATGTTCTTAAAACTACTCAGTGAAAGAGGCCTTCAACCATCGCGAACAGAGAGAGAGGGAGAAAGACGGGCAGGGAGTGTGGTCACTCACTGAGGATGGAGCTTGTAGAGGGTTCCGTCCACACCCACTGTCACTTTCAGAGTGTCCAGCCCACGGTTTTCTCGTATCTTGTCCACCACGGCGGCCATGCCTGCGCCACAGAGCTGGGCTGCCCGCCGGGCCACGACGGTGCACACCTCCTTGACAATGATGCTGTCGTCACAGGTGCTCTCGAGCCCCAAGTGGTGCAGGATGGCTCGGACCTGCAGCAGGGCCAGGCAGTCACTGGGGTGGGAGGGAGACAGCAGGTGGTTGGTTAGTCACATGCCAGAGGGGTCAGGAGCCTGGCCAGGCAGGAGCTGGTATGAAGGCCAGCGCCCTGCAAGGTGGCTCCTAGTCTGAGCTCATCCCATGGGACCAAACACACTCTTCCTGGGTGCAGCTGTAACACGAAGAAACAGTTCCCTATTCCACTTGGCCTAGATGAGGTGCAGCAACGCTACTACAGCTACCGTGGTTTTGATACACAAAACGAAAGGAAATTCGCCATCACTTAGAAAAAACAAAGACAAGATAATGCTCATGGGGCAGTTGTCGGTTGCAAAGCTCTCTCACGTCCATTCTCTCAATGCTGTGCATGGGTCAGCAAGACAAGCATCACTGGCCAACATCAGATCCATGTTCTATTCCTACTCCCCCACCCTGGGGGTCTGAAATCCACTTGAGTAATATTTATGAAACAAATGTAAATAAAATTGTAGGAAGAAAATGAACCCTAGTGCAGTGATGGCGAACCTTGTGAGCTCGGCGTGTCAGCATTTTGAAAAACCCTAACTTAACTCTGGTGCCGTGTCACATATAGAAATTTTTTGATATTTGCAACCATAGTAAAACAAAGACTTATATTTTTCATATTTATTTTATATATTTAAATGCCATTTAACAAGGAAAAATCAACCAAAAAAATGAGTTCGCGTGTCCCCTCTGACACGCGTGTCATAGGTTCGCCATCACTGCCCTAGTGTATAAAGGGCAGTTCTCGAGAACCCTGGAGTCATCTACATGAGCAGACATGTAGAATATGTCCTTTCTATGTGCACACAGCCTCAGGCCCCACTCATGTCAGTTCCTGTTTTTCTATACGCCTGAGAGTAATGACAGTAAAATTAATAAGCATTAAATTTTAAAGGGCCCTGAAAGTCACTGTTCTAATTTGGAGCAGACTCTTCTGCCATTAGACTGGAGAGGGAAGGATTTGCTATAATGAGCTGCCACACGGCCTCCTTCGGCATTGCCTGACGAGCCACCTGCACCCAGTCCCGGGTGCCTCTTTACTGCAGCAGCAGGCAGGAAGACCCTCGGCCATGCCTAAGTGCTTTAATGGGTTCTCTTCCTCTGTGCATTCCGATTTGCCTCTTATGAGCAGGTCTCTTTCTAACTTTGATATTTGATCTGAGACCCAATATGACTTTTCAGGGGCTCATACCAGCTTAGCATAATTTTTCATGGGAATGCTATATGTTTCCCCTTAGAATGACAACTGTCCATAAGACACTTGAAATATAGCCTGGCCGAAGTGGCTCAGTGTTTGAGCATCAACTAATGAACAGGAGATCACGGTTTGATTCCTGGTCAGGGCATATGCCCAGGTTGTGGGCTTGATCCCCAGTAGGGGGCATGCAGCAGGCAGCCAATCAATGACTCTCTCTCATCATTGATGTTTCTATCTCTCTCTTCCTCTCTCTGAAATCAATAATATATATTATTGATTATATAATATATATTGATTATATAAAATATATATCAATATATCTATATATACATATAAATATATATATATTAAGGTACTTGGAATATACACTACAGATATGAATGTGCCAGCAACTAAACTGACCTGTCTATAAGCCACACCCTGATAGAACCTGCAGCGTGTCTGTCCATGAAGAGGACATGGCCGTACCCTACTCCAGGACCGAAATCCTCACCTCTCAATCTGAGACAGGAACTTGGTTTCAAAGATTCCCCTTGTCTTGAGTCGCTCTGAGATGCGGCCACGGAAGAGCAGCCCACGCTTGGTGAAGTCAATGAGGATGTTTCGGACAATCTCGCCCAAGTACATGCCACTGATCATTTTCTCAAACCTGCAATGCGGGTGACATCCATGGAATTAAGTAGGAAGGTGGTGGGATGTGATGAGACACGACAAACCAATTCAGTCCCGACACATGTGACAGCAGAGGGGTGCAGATTCCCTGTGGTGGGAAAGGAAATGCTACCCGACTCACAGGATTCCTCGTGTTCGGTGAAGCTGACTACAGTGCCGGAGGCCCACAGGGTCCCTGGGATTGGTCCGCCTTCTGGGCTCATTTTCCTTCCAAGCCTTATTCCTGACGCCTCAAGAAGGAATATAAACTCAAAGCGAACACCCTTCCAGGAGAAGGGGAGAAGTCTTAGCCCTTAACCCAGCCGTGGGCAAACTACAGCCTGCGGGCAGGATCCGGCCCGTTTGAAGTGAATAAAACTAAAAAAAAATAAAGACCGTACCCTTTTATGTAATGATGTTTACTTTGAATTTATATTAGTTCACACAAACACTCCATCCATGCTTTTGTTCCGGCCATCCGGTCCAGTTTAAGAACCCATTGTGGCCCTCGAGTCAAAAAGTTTGCCCACCCCTGCCTTAACCTCACTAGGCATTTAGCATGCTTTCTCCTACACCTGATCATTATCAGCTAAGTAACTCGTGCCAGCTGGAGTCCTCCTGTCCTGGTCCCAAAACTGAATGTGACTACTCAGTGGCTGAGGGCCTTTGGGCCCCGAGGAGCCCTTACAAAAGTCAAGGTCCCCAGTTTCAACCGAGACCCCCTTGCTACTCTGTCTTGCTTTACCCCAGCGTGTGTCCTTCACTAATGTTGTCTGTGACCTCTACTCTACACAGATGTTTTGCGAAGTATATTGCACAGTACATTGGTCCCTGATTAATGTAGTCAGGAAACACTACATCTTCCTAGTGGGAAGCGTGCTGGATCTTACACTAGTCTCTCAGCTCAGATTCCCCCCACGTCACAGGAGGGGCTTTGTGGTGCTTGCTGGGGCTGGCACCTCATTCAGTCTTGACAACAGAGGGCGCTACATACTGGATGGAGGGAGGAGGAGGAAGAGGTCTGCTCCTGCCTGCTTCTTGCTCCCATCTGCCTCACCCCAGCAGTGCTTCCTTCTTCACCCTGGTAGCATGACTGGTTCAATTCTCATTTGTTTTTCCCACCGTCCCAGACCTAGGCCTTAACTCTCTCCCTGACCTGTTCTCAGTCCTAGGGGCGGGAGCTGCTTCTTACATGTACTAACTCTGTGTCCCCTTTTGTTTTTTCATCTAAAAACTCTGTGACCAGTTCCCTGTATGAAATCCCCTCGCAATATATTGTTGTGATTTGTTCTCCCAAGTGGGCTTGGAACGCATCACCATCCAGCAGGGGGAAAGAAGCCAGAACTTTCCAGATGTATTGGATAAGAAACCCTTCCCAAGGAAATCCTTTCTATTAACATCTCAACATGTTGTAGAGGATCTGATTACTTGTCTCCATCCAGTTCTGGGATACACGACCCAGAGGCCACAAGCAGTTGGGCGCCTACCTCTGTTTGCCAGGGTTGAGGGAAAGCTCATCCACAGCCACATCAAATTCCGTGCGGAAGTCATCTAGGCACCCATTGTCCCCGAAAGCTCCCCACTCCATGTTGACACACATCCGCCCCTCTTCCCCATCCACCAGCTCCACGTTCCGCATCTCCTCCATGTAGCAGGCATTGCTGCCCGTGCCTGCCAATCACAGAGATGTCAGGGCCTCACTCAGCACCGTCTCCCACCCACCCGAGGCCGGGTGACCCCATGTGGGAAGGAGAGCCTAGGTCCGTACCAACAATGAGGCCAACTTCACAGTGAGGGTCTTCATAGCCACAGGTCATCATAGTCCCCACTGTGTCATTCACCACGGCCACCACGTCCAGGTCAAACTCCTAAGAGGGCAAAAGGAGATCCCCAGTCCACAAATGAATCACAACATTCCCCCGCTCCAGAAACTTGCAAGGGAGATTTCCATGAACAGAAGACGCATACGGCATGGCTCATTCTCTTTGCACGCAGGTCTCTGCTCAAAGGTCACCTCCTCAGAGACCTTCCCTGGTTATAACTATTGAAAAGAGTGCCCCTTACCCAGCCCACTCACTCTGTTCTCGCCCAACTTCATTTCTCGTCATAGCTCTATGGCAATGACGTTAGCTCCTGGGTTTGTTTACAGGACAAGAGTTTGTTATGGTCGTTCCTGAGTCCCCAGGGCCAAGAGCAGGCTTGACACACAGCAGACACACACAAACTGCTGAAGGATTATGTTACTTCTCCAGCTAACCAATTCAACCGCACTCAACACTTCCCCACGTTCTGAACACACAGGCCTCGCCGTGTCTCTCCCACCTCTCGCCGGTGGATGGCTTCCTTCAGCAGGGTGACCACGTCCTCACCCTCGCAGCCAGATGCCTTGAAACCTTTCGTCCACTTGAGGAGGATGCTCTAAAAACCACACGGGAGCAGTAGTTAGGGCATCAGAGAAGGATTTCTGGGTCATTCCCTTACACCTGTTATACAGATGCCCTTTAGGAACCAATCATCTCACCCACAGTGGTTTCCCTCACTTGGATTTACTGAGTGCCCACAATGTACCAGGCTAAGCACATCTCATGCATCACAGCATTTAATCCTCACAGCAACCTTGTGCAATGTCTGTCATTATCGTGCCCATTTTACAGGTAACCATAGCTCTGGAGTAATTGGTAGAAGGCCTGCAGCTTGGAGAAGAGGAGCAGGACTCACTCCCAGGCCCAGCGACTCCAATGGACAGGCCACAAGCATCACACAACTGTGCCTGCCAGGGAACTAAGTTCTGCATGCTTATTTCCTTTGCTGGGAAAGGCAGATACCCTGGCCCCACCTACATTTACATCGAACTGAGTATACAGTGAACAAATGCCCTGCCCATAGTTGGGGTGACATCTAGGCTTCACCACCCTCCCCGTGAGGAAAGCACTCTGAGCTCCTTGGAGTTCCCCCTCAGCCCTCTCATCCATATTGTGGCCCTGTGCCATGCCATGGGACCCTCCAGGAACAGGTACCATGGTGGCTTTGACCATGAGAGAAATGTTCAAAAAAGAAAGGGTTTTGTTCCCTGGTTTCCTCTTTGCTGCTGTAGCCCATCAAGATTCAAATGTGGAAGGCCCGGCTGGCGTAGCTCAGTGGTTGAGTGTTAACCTATGAACCAGGAAGTCATGGTTCGATCCCTGGTCTGGGCACATGCCCGGGTTGTGGGCTGGATCCCCAAAGCGGGGTGTACAGAAGGCAGTCAATCAGTGATTCTCTCCCAACACTGAAGTTTCTCTCTCCCTCTCTCTTCCTCTCTGCAATCAATAAAAATATATTAATTTTTTTAAAAAAAGAAACAAAAGTGAAGGACATCCAGGCCCCCTTCCCAAGACACCAGAATCTATAAACAGGCTCTGTGTTCTCCCAGGCCTTGTTTGGTTGGTCATGCCCACCAGCCTGGCATTTCATGGCCCAGGAGTTTGATATCACTAGGCAACGTGAATATGTCACTGTGCTCTGATCTGGGAGATTCAGAAAAGCAGTGCAGTCCCGCAGGTCCTGGTTTCCACTCCTACATCCAAACACCTGTGTGCTAATCTCCACCCAGCTTTCTTATCTACAAATTAACTTCACATCTCTATTTAATTCTGTATTATGGCCACTTTCTGGTTACGAAATGTTCAAATAACATTATTCCGGTGGAACTAAGACAAGCAGAGGCCCCAACAGCTGGGGAGACTCGCCCAAGGCCACCGGCCAGTCAAGGCAGCGTGCGGCCTCCAGGCCTCAGCACCTGCGGGTTTCCCACCCACCGGATGATCTCGCCAGAGCAGAACCCAGCCTCTGCTTTATTTGCTCTAAAGTTTTACAATTCTAGACTGAACACATGGTCCTTGTAGAAACTTAGGCCTGGAATCTGGCAATTCGGGCAAAAACAGTTAACACCAGATAAATATAAAAATACACATAACATGTTGGCATGTAAAGCAAGACAGTGTCTGTTTTAAAATACTTTAGAAGGAAAAGCCTGGAAGTATATACACTGGAGTGTTATGGTTTTATCTTCCTATTAATTGTGTTTTTTGCATGTTTGTATAGTGCAGAGATAAGGCTTCTCCTAACTAGTCACTGATATGAGACAGTAAATGGCTCATAATTTATTAAATATTTCCTGACCATTGAACAATTAGGCTTGTTTCTATGTTTCATCCAATATCACATAAATATTTATCCACATGTTTGATAATTCCCTTTGCCAAATTAATGCAAATGTGAAGGCTCTGAAAACCCAATGACGCTGACAAAAATGTGCCGAGACAAAGAAACTGGAAGAGCTAAAAGCAGCACTGGAGTCGTTCACACTGGACAGATGTTAACAGATATTGGGAAATACTGGGTTAGGCAGGATTTTTAGGGCAGATCATCCCCAAACCTTAGCTGTCTTAGTGCACACGGTGAATTTGGCTCTCAGAGGGGAGGAGTAGGAGGCAGTTACAAAACTCAGCTGAGCAACCTAAGGGTTGCTGCTCCAGGGACCCTTTAGAAAACTCGGCCCTTCTCACCACGGGGCCAAGCTCACGGAACCTGTGACTGTTCCGCCTACATGCCCTCCTCCACACTGCAGGCTGCTTGCCTTTCAGCCCTATCAACCCTTTCCTCTGACTGAGACGGTCCAAGCATTCCTCAGGCCCTCCATGCATGTGCTCAGAATACATCACACCACACCTCCTCGGGACTTTTGCACCCATTGGTGCCACATTCCAAAGGGCAGCTCTGGCTTTCCTAAGCTTGCTTCATCAGTCCAGTCTCTTTGTAAGCACCTAGAGCAGGATCTATGCCTCTGGTCCCCTGGCAACTCCACCCACAGCATACTACCCACCTGTACCAGGCACGCAAGCTTCCCAACAGAAACACAGAGGAACAACTGCTTAAACGACAGTGTTTTGACATCTAATAGACCAAGTATGGACCCAGATCAAGCCTGGGCATCACCTACTCAGTCTCTTGACACCTCTCAGCACACCCACGTCCAGAACACTCGGGAGCACCAGTGTTCTCCACTTGCTTCATTCATCCAAGGGGATGAAAGCGAAGGTGAGACTAGAGAAGAGCGAGGGCATCCGAATGACCGGAGGTGAATGCAAATGTCCTGAGCCCAAATCAAGAGCCTCGGGAGCAGCTGAGCTTCATCGAGAGCGTGGGCTGAGGTGTCAGGACCCCAGGATTCAAATCGTGGCTTGGTCGTTCCGAAGCTATCTGACTGGGTCTAGGTTTTGCAACCTAAGAAATGGCGGGTTTGAATATTTGGCATCGCTATGGACCTTATTTTCCTTTCTGCAAAATGGCTGTACAAACACCTACCTTAGAGGTTGCCATGAGGGTTAAATGAAATAATGGGTGTAGAAAGCCTAGCCCAGTACCTGACATAAACTGCTTGAAAGATGTTAATATTTATATTAGTATCCTCATCGTGATCCCAAAGATTGCTTGTTACAGCCGAGCTAAGCTAGTTAACTTCCGCCAGCTCTGACTCACTCATTCCCACCAAAAGGCCCCTCCTCCCAACAGCTCACACACGCCCTTCTTTTCCTCCTCTAAGCTCAACTTTCTGGCTGGTATACAGTCAATAAAACCCACAGCAGAGCCCTCCAGGAAGGGCCTCTTACCTCATCCAGGCTGTTCTGCTGGCAGGGGAAAGAGAAGGTGAAGCCCAGGGGCAGGGACACGCCCTTCATGCCCATGTACTCAAGGAAGTCGGCGATGCACTGGACGATATGGTCAAAGAGCTGCAGGGAGAAGCTGTGCTCTCAGGGAGGGGGCCCTTGGCCAGGGCAGGCTCCCCCCAGCAAGGCTTGAGCATGAGTGAGGCCTCCACCCAGGAGCAGTGCAAGACTAGATGTAATCCTGAGTAAGGCCAGCCCTGGGTCCTGGCCCACCTAGTCCTCCCCCGGATCACGGTGAGCAGGGGAGGCACTGCCCTCCCTGGGAAGAAGTGGGTGTCTACTGGGGTCCCCTCCCAGAGGTGTTGCCCTGCCTTACCTCGTCCCCCGTGCCGTGCATGACCTCCTGCGGGATGGCGTAGATCTTGTTGTGCATCTCCACTCCGCGCCGCTTCCCGTTCCGCACACGCACCAGCAGGACCCGGAAATTGGTACCCCCAAGGTCCAAGGCCAGAAAATCACCTTTCTCTGAAAATAAACCCAGGAAGATGATGAGTGGGGCATTACCACATGACCATAGCAGAGAGTGACAGGGTCTAAAGCACCCTGCCCTAATGGGGAGGTCTCCTGGAGGGGGTTGGGGGGAGCCCTCAACAACCTCAGGGGTGATGGACTGTGAGCTCCACCTAACAGTAAAGAATATAAGACCCCAGGACCAGAGACCTGCTGGCTCCTTAGTGGTTCTCAAATGGTTCAAGTGCTGGGGCCCAGAAGTCACAATGACCTCTGCAATCATAACAGGGGAAAGGCGACCGTGCACTCAACAATATCTAACATGCCATTCATGCTAAGTCAAAGGCCACCTTATTTAGAATAGACTAGACTAGAGAAGGAACGGCAGAGACAAACACCCTCCTTTGTTGAGCAATCACCATGTGCTCCTCCCTCACACAGAGCTCACGCAACCCTCAGGCAGCCCTGAGAGCGAGGCACTGTGTTTCCCTCTGAAGAGGGCCCACCACCCGGCTGACCTACGGGGAGTCGCTTCCTGGAGGCCACACAGCCAGCAGAGGGTGGAGCAGGGGCCAAGTTCCAGTCTCTGCCTCTGGAACGTGCCCCAAGTGTGCTACACTGGCTGCTTAGTGATTGTTTCCAATGAATGGGGGGGAAAACTGCCGTCATTTTGGTTGTGAGACGTAGACCAGGGGTCAGCAATATTTTTCTGTAAGGGACTGGGCAGTAAACATTTTAGGCCTTGTAAGCCAGTCTCTGCTGCAACCACATGGCTTTGCCATGGTGATGCAAAGCAGCCATAAACAATACGTGGACAAATGGGCAAGACTGTGCAGTCATAAAACTTTATTTACAAAAATAGATGGTGGGCCAGATTTAGTCTGTGGGCCTTAGTGTGCCAACCCCTGACCTAGGGCTTATAAGAGCTGGCCCTGAACCAAAATCCCTGGGTTTGAATCCCAGCTTTGCCATTTTCCAGCTGTGTGAACTGGGCAGGTTTCTTTATTTCTGTGTGCCTTAGTTCTGTGCCAACCATAACAGTTTGTTAACAAACAAAATTAACTACTAATCTCTGTTAACAGTAAAGACTAAATGAATTGACATGTGTTAAGTGCTCAGAGAAGTGCTTGACACATAGTAAGTATTCAGTAAGTACTTACTAAATCACCACAGCTCAAATTTTAGCCTTGAGCTTATTGAACATTAGAATTTCCTAGTACAGATGGTCCCCAAATTACAATGGTTTGGTTTAATGATTTTTTACTTTACAATGGAGTGAAAGCAATTCACATTGAGTATCACCCATACTTCAAATTTTAATTCTTCCTGGGGCTGGTGATGTGGTATAATTCTCTTGTGATGGGCAGTGGCAGCTAGCCACAGCTCCTAGTGAGCCATGCGATCCCCAGGGTAAGCAACCAGCACTCCACAGTGTATTCATGTGTCAGATGGTTTTGCCCAAGTGTAGGCTAATGTACGTAAGTGTTCTGAGCACATTTAAGCTAGGCTAGGCTAGGCTGTGATGTCCGGTAAGTTGGGTGTATTAAATGCATTTTTGGCTTATGATGAGTTTATTGGGAGTAATGCTATCGTAAGTTGAGGAGCATGTGTACTGTAGTTGGAGAAACATGTTCTGGTCCAAACATCCAATGTTAAGGCTAAGGAGTTCTCCTAGAGCAGTGATGGCGAACCTATGACACACGTGTCAGAGGTGACACGCGAACTCACTTTTTTGGTTGATTTTTCTTTGTTAAATGGCATTTAAATATATAAAATAAATATCAAACATATAAATCTTTGTTTCACTATGGTTGCAAATATCAAAAAATTTCTATATGTGACACGGCACCAGAGTTAAGTTAGGGTTTTTCAAAATGCTGACACGCCAAGCTCAAAAGGTTCGCCATCACTGTCCTAGAGTGTCAACACCAGGACAAAGGCCCACCGTGGTGAGCTGAGTGGCAGCCCTGCCATGTACCTGTGCCATCAGGGGTGGCGCACACATAGGTGGGCAGCATCTTGACCGGGGCAACGGCATGAGTCTCCTTGCTCAGACCTCGCTCCATTTCTAGCTTCATCCTCTTCTTGATTTCCAGCAGCTGCTCCCGGCTCAGCTTCAGAGACTCCAAGGTCTTCTGCCGGGCCCGGTGTTGGTCGGCCAGCCGGTAGGCCACTGCTGTCACCATGGCTGCGCCCTTGCCACTGCCATCCTCGGAGCGGAGGAAGCGGACGTCGCAGTCAGGCACCAGGCGCCGCACCGTCTTGTGAAGACGCTTGGCGAAACTGCAGTCACCGAGATGGGGTAAGAAATGGGTGTCCACAGCTAGGGTCAATGGTGCTAACGGTTGGAGCATTAGCTCACCACCTCAGCACAAATGCCAAGAGGCACCTGCAGAAGCAGATCTGCCCCAAACATCCCCTCCCCACTCTTTCCCAAGTTAGGCGTCACTATACAAAAGCTCAGATGTCCAACTGTGTCCACCCTGGCGGGGTCCAATGCCTATTGAAAGGGAAGACTCTTCTAGGAAGCCACTATCCCCTGAAGGCGGTCACATAGACCTCCTCTTCCCACAGGCCACAGCTCCCCTGCCCCATCTAGTATCCTCTTTGCTGGAGAACCCAATGGAATCAGGTGATTCTGACACCAACTACTATTCATGTTTCATCATTCATTTCATTAGATGTTCCCTGGGAAAGACCCAAATCAGAAAAAGTTGAAATGCTACTCTGGACTGTGGTCTCTTCGGTCAATTTCGGCCAAAGCTTCCCAAGATGTCTGAATAGGTAGGTATGCTCAGCAAGAAATTCGTGGGTGGTGGCTGCTCTGAGTCATGATCTCCAGGACCTCATCACTGCAGGTGTGGTCTGTGGGCCCGCAGCATCCTGAACCCAGAACTTCTGAATCAGAATCGGCCTCTTAGCAAGATCCCCAGGTGATCTGTATGCACTTTAAAGTGCTGGAAGCACTGGACTAGGAGGCCAGGGACTGAATGGTAGGGCTGAGACTTTCTGCATCAAACAGTTCAGTCAATGAAGGCCCATAGACCTGGCCCTCATAACAGGCGAACACGATGGATAAGTTGGCACAACAGAGCTAGATCTTCTAGGTCCCAACTGAAACTTGCATATTTTTGCACTTATGACCCAAGGAATCAAAACATGAAGCCTTGCGTCCTCTGTAAAATGTTTGGATGTTTAAATCCTTAATAAAGCTCAGATTATCCGGGTGCCACAAAAAAAAAAAAAAAAAAAAAAAAATCATGAAGGACAGGGAAGGATCAATTCAATACCCAGATCAGCCAGAGAGGCTGATAATCCACTGGTCTGGGGTCGCCCCTGGCAGAGGACACAGGATCTGAAGGGACCGTCAAGAATCATGAAAGAGTCAAAGAAAGAAGTAAAGAGAAACACTAACTCCTAAACAAGAGGGTGGCAACAAGAGCCCTCTGAGTAGTGGCCAGGAGAGTTCTGAGTAGACCCACCCCCCAACTCCAGTGGCCCGCAGCCTTCAGAAATCACCTCTACCCTCGCCAAGCACACCCTCCCAGCTCCCACTGCCTCGCTGGGAACTTTATTCTACAAAGACCCTCACCGCCACAGTCCATCTCCACCACCCAGAATGTAAAACAGAGTTGGCGCCTAGAGTCACTGGGGTCTCTCTCGAGGCTGTCGGGGGTCTGCAAGTGCTCCGGGAGCCCCATCACTGTGGGTCCCGAACGCTGACTCACTGGGGGTGTTTCTTGTAGACGGAGCCATCGACCCCAATGGTGGAACGCAGGCGCTCCTCGCTCTTGTTCTCCTTGATGCGCCGCAGCACAGCCGCCAGGGTGGCCGCGCACAGGCTGGCTGAGCGCGTGGACACGATCTGGCAGATGCGGTGAGTGGCCACGCAGTCCTCCTCTGTCGGCTCTATGCCCAGCCGCACCAGGACCTCGTGAGCCTTCCGGATACCGTCCTTCTCCCTGGGAAACAGAAAGGGAGTGTGTGTGCACATATCCAATCCACTGTGGCCAGCGGGAGAGGGATGGGGGTCGGGGAGGGGGCGGGCAGGAAACCCCGCAGCTTCAGCAAATGTCATCTCCCAGTGATGGCAGACGCCCACTTCACTCTAAATACGGTCATGAAGGGCTGGTGCTGCGCGAGTAGCACCCTTCTTAGGGGAACGAAGCGCTTCGCAAATTTGAGGACTTTCCTCCCCTCGGGGTTTAACAAGTAGGAACAGTTCCTTCAAGAGTTTCCGTTCCCAGTCATTTGAACTGTTTCACTGCTCCCTTTACACCCAAATCACCTCCTCTCCACCAGCTGGTCCCTGAGACAGGGCCTCCTCAAGCCACAAGTGGAAGTCTCAAGAACTGGAAACAAGGCCCAACTCTGGATATTGAAAATGGAAGACAAAAATGAGGCCACCCTCACTCCCACCCCTGCTGCTCCATGAAAATGCAGCCTCGGCTCGAGCTATGGGAACTAAGTGGGTATCTCTCTGGGCCATCCAAGGACCGATTCTTCTGTTATGAAGCAGAGCTCAAAATGGAGTCTTTTTTGAGAATCACCAATAGAGAATGAAACGTCAGCGCTTCAGAAGGGAAAGGAAATGGATGGAAATGAGTCATTAAGGGGCCAATGGGGAGCCTCTAGCATTAAGCCAAGACCCTGACCCCCACCCCACACCAAGCAGGAATGCAAGTGTGACATCTCTGAGCATGGAGGCCAGTCAGGACCGGTAGGCACTTTGGAAATCACCACGCTCAATGGACAAGCGTGGAGACTGTGGGTTAAGTGACCTCAAACCACTGCCCCCTCCCCCCATGGCCCATGTTGGGCGAGACCCTCTTGCTGTCCACATTTGAGGGGTCAAGGGCCAGTGCCCCTTCTTCACCCCCAATGGCCTGATCACTCTTCAGTAAACAGAGAAGGACCCAAAAGCTTACCCTTCAATATCTGAAACATCTTTGGTCTCAAAGCGGCCTTTGGCGAGGAGTTCGGGGCTGAGCTTCCCCCTGAAAAGCAGCTCCTCCTTGGCCATCTTCACCAGGATAAGCCTCACCAGTTCCCCCATGTACATCCCACTGATCATCTTCTCAAATCTGCAGGAAGATACACACCAGAAAACCCATGAAATCCCTGCTGTCTGTGAGCTCACAACTTCCCCGAGGAGGCAACATGCACACATGTGGAACTCCAACAATGTTAGAGGCTGATGCACACGGAAGGTTAACTTGTGTGGCACCGCCTGGGAATGAGTTGTATGAAGGGACAGCCCAGGCAGGGTTGGAGGAGCCGGGGAGCCGGGGCTGTCTCTGCAGGCAGGTGGGCCTTGAACTGTGGAAAGGATGGGCCAATAGCAGGCAAACAAAACATCTGAGGAGTGTGGGACATACTGTAATAGTCTGAAACTTCAGTATAGTAAGTTACACGTAAGGTAGTGAGTTTTAAATTTTTTTTCCCTCTATCAAGGAAGTGATTTTTGAAAGTGAAACCTAATGTAAAATGAACCCCAATATTTATTTACAAGAAAGGCCAATATGATTGAACTGGGGGGAGGGGGTTGTAAGCCCAGCAATTCATCACCTCGCACCACCCTTGACCCCTTACAGGCCATTTGTGAATTCCTAACATGTGAAAAACACCACGGGTGTAGGGAGGAGGAGTAATGGGGCAAGATTAGAAAAGCAGGTTGGGGCGGCTGAGAAAGAGCCCAAAATCCCTTAAAGTTTCTCAGGAATATCGGAGTGAGAGATGCTGCAAGTTCCTGAGCAGGCAGGTTAGATAAGATAAAGGCATGTTTAAGAACCACCAGGGCAGGGACCCAAGCTGAGAGGGCAGTCGGGGAATTTATTTCTTCAACACTAGATGGCACTGTTTTCTTTAGAAGACAGCCTTTCTGTCTCAGACTGTGGTGGGAAAGGAAGCCTTTACAATTCTTCTTGGCAAAGAAGGCCCTTTCTAGATATCTCAGAAAGGATCTGGGTGCTAGGGAGAGGAGGCCCCCAGGGCCTGCAGGCACTAACTGGGCCAGGCTCCACCAAGGAGGCCCACAGCAGGGCTGGGGAAGGGACTCAGATGTCTCCCGGTGCTGAGTCCCAGGAAGTCAGGCCCTCGGGAAGAGACTTGCTCAAGACCCAAGGTCAAGTGTGGCAGAATTGGAGCTAAATGAAGAGCTGGCTAAACTTTTCAGACAGAGGGTGCATTTGAAATGTGTCAGCGCCAGCACAGCCAACTGCCTGGGCGGCAGAGCGGCTTCGAGAGCAAGGAACTCGTGTGTCGACTTCTCTAAATAGGTGGTCCTGTGGGAAGTAGCGGGGGTGTCCAGTGGGGTTCTGAAGTATGCGCAGATTTTTAAAGTTTTTAATTCCAGTTTTTAAAAACACTTTGTTTCCATCAATGTTTGAAAAAAAATATCTATTTAGAGACATATAAAGAGTCAAAGTTCCTCCTCAAGCCCCAAAATAACTTAGGAACTACCACGGCTGACAATGGGACATGTCCTCCGACTTTGATTTGATTTGTCTAAGGCTAAGCCAGGGGTGGGCTGCCAAGGCCAGGCTGGCAATTCTGTCTTCTAACACTTCAAAGGGCACACAGCTCCTGGGAATGGCGTGGGTTGTCTCGTCGATGGAGGCAGGCAATGAATGAGTGACTTTTCAGTCCATAAATGCCTCACCAGCCATGGCAGACATAGCCAGGTTGTTCCTGTGAAAGCTACAAGTAAATGTGGGGAAGCTTGTGACTTAAATAAATCCTGCGTCCTCGATGAAACCAGGGCTCTCCCAGTTAAGAAAAAGGCCCCCACTGTTAATAGGCTTGGATTTTCCTCTCCAAGCGGAGATCAGCACGACAAGCTTTCCTGTCAGTCCCAGCAACCAGACCAGAGAGAGCCTGAACTGCTCAAGAGGTTTTGTAATTGCCTGCAAAGCTTGCAGCAATCCCTATTTCAAGATCTTTAAGGGACATGTGGAAAATGCTTGTGAGAGTGAAATAATGTTTTGTAAGAGTCAAAAGTAACTAAATACCATGTCTGGCCAGGCTGGAGAGTGTAATATTCAGGGTCCAGATGGAGCCCTTCCTCCAGTTAGTTCACCCCAGGGCCCTGGCTCGGCCACAGGTCCCGGGAAGGTGGCCAAGGAGGCCTTGGGTCTGGGTACTGCTGGGGTGGGAGGCCCCTGACTCCCATGGGGTCCAGCTGAACTTAGAGGCAACTCTACCGGAGCTCTAAGACTGAGGCTTAGCCAGTCATTAGGAGCCACCTACCACAGCCTGGACAGTGACAGGGGTGGGAGCTACAAAAGGAGTCTTCACAGACCCAAATCTTGGCCATCTGAACACTTTTCTATGTGGCCCACAAACTGTTTCTAAGGGCAACTTGCAAATTGAAGGTGTAAAGAAAGAGCAGGGCCATTCACTTAGACTCAGAATATGACTTTCTGAAACTACTGTTCTGAAGGATAAAGCAAATTATTACCTGGTGTGTCTGCCTGCTCTGTCCTCAGAAATTTACAGTCACAATGTGTGTAATGAGCACAAATTCCCAATGTGTGTAATGAGCACAAATTCCCATGACCTTGGCAACCTTTGGGGGATATGACTGTAAAGCAAAAATGAGAACCACCACCCAGCCTGGCCAGCCCCCAACCTAACTCCTGAGCCCCACTCCCCACGCCCTCTGCTCACAGTTGCTTCCCGGGGTTCAGGGAGCCCATGTCAATCTCCTGGTCAAATTCAGTACGGATGTCATCGAGCGCGCCGTCGTCCCCAAAGGCCCCCCATTCCATGTTGATGCACATCCGCCCCTCATCGCCTTCCACCATGTCAATATGGCGCATCTCTTCCATGTAGCAGGCATTGCTGCCCGTACCTGGCCAAAACAAGGGACTGCTTAGTGCATACCCACACTGTCCTCTGCCCAGCACCCATCTCCCTCTTGCCCCACCATCCTGATACTGCCCAGAGTAGCTGGAATTCCTCCGAGCAGACTACTGGGCCATTCCAACATGGTCCACTCCATTAACCCCCAACTCCACAAGTACTGGCTTAGCCCTCCAAAGTGACCATACCATTCATTATCTTCCAAAATGAAGTACAAAGGGACATCCAGGTCATGAACTCCTCTTCCCTTTCCAGCCCACACCCCACTCCATTGGCCAATATCAGCCCTCACACCCAGTGCTCACGTACCCACAATGAGACCAATCTCGCAGTTCTGGTCATCATAACCACAGGTCATCATGGTCCCAACTGTGTCATTCACCACAGCCACAATATCAATGTCAAAGTCCTACAGAGGAAAAAGGAGAGATCTGACCTTCACCATCACAGAAAGGTCACAGGTGTAAAGATGGAGAGAAAGAGTGGCAAGACACACAGCTCAAGAGTAACAGGGCCGCCTCCTGATTAACGCTACTCAAAACCAAAGAAAATTATAGCTGGAAATCGGGTCCAGATCCAGTCTAACAGCTGCCTCTCACTTCCTGTCCTGGAGGACTTCCCGACATCAGCCCTGTGGTCTAGTTTAAAGCCATCACTGCACTAAGAATAGCCCGTCATGTCATCATTGTCATCTTCTCCTCTTTCTTCTTTTCCTTTACCTCTCTCTCCCTCTTTCCTTTCCAGGAAGTCTTATCTTTCTGTGACCTTTATCTTGTCCTCTCTGTGCCCCATTTCATCCTAATACCAACATCATCCCAACTTTCTAACTTGAAAATGATGGTCAAGTCTTCTTCAGGTTAAATACTAAAGGGTTCTTCTTGTACCATGGCTAAGATGTTTATCCATCATGATAATCTTAACCCCAAAGGTATCTGATCATTTATAAGATTCTTGGGGTGATAATTATTTTACAATATATGTGTGTGAAATCATTATGTGGTGCATCTTAAACTGATACAGAGCTGTATGTCAATTATATTTCATTAAAACTGGAAAAAATAAAAATATGTATTATTGAGTAAACATAGCAGGGAAGAAGAAAGAAAACCTCACCTAAGAATCACAAAGGTCCTTGCACTGTGTTAAGGACAGACTGGGGAAGGCTTCAGAGTGGCCCCAAAGGAACCTTAAGTCCTGCCTCCCCATCCCTGCCGCCCCTACTCACCCCTCTCCTCTGGATGGCCTTCCGGATCAGAGTAACCACATCTTTGCCTTCCACACCACTGGACTTGAACCCCTTGGTCCATGAGACCAGGAAACTCTGGAAAAGAACCAAGGATTGAACATTAATTCCTCACAAAACTCAGACTACACTCCTCAAACAATCATTAGTTAGAGCCCTCGGCCATGGGGCTAAACTATTGCCATGCTTGAATGTGTACTAGTAGATTGCTTCCTAACTAGCATAGGAAGAAGTCCAAGTCCCACCAAAGACCCAGAAAGAAAATTATTTCTTCATGATCAACTGCTCCCAAAGGTGAAAAGGGAAGGCTATAGAACTGCCAAAATAAGGTATTTGCAACCTCTGATCGAACTCCCCAGGCATCTTTCTTTCAAAAGATATTTATCACAACACTTTAGATCAAAGGAGTTCCTGACTAATTTCTCACTCCTGTGTCCCTAAAAGAGATAAGGATAATGTGCAATGTATGTGGGGTTGTGCACTGTGCTTTGAGGGTAAAGATCCCCCTTCTTCACCATCCCCCCCCACACACACACACACACTCACTCAGAAGCTCAGAACTCTCAATATTCAAACCTCGTCCACACAACTCTCAGAGCCACCTCCAACACCATAGCGGTACATGGCTCAGAGTTGCTCATCCTCCCAGCCCAAAGAAGGAAACAACAGAAGTGTCTGAAGAACTCATTTTACTCACCTCATCTAGTTTCGTTTGGATGCAAGGGAATGAGAACGTAAAGCCCAAGGGGAGCTTCTTGTCTTTGATTTGTAGCTTATCCATGAAGTTAGCCAGGCATTCGGCAATGTGGTCAAACAGCTAAGGGTACACGACACAGGAAGATGAGCAGGGAGGCAAAATGGCACAGCGATTAGGAGCACACACTGGGGGCTCTGAAAGGAACTAGCTGAATGCATGCAAGGTATGCATCCCCTGTGAAGTCTTCATTTTCTCAGTCTATAGCACGGGGATGCTAACCAAAAGGATTAAATGAGGCAATACACATAAGGGCTTAACACTAGTTAGTGCTTATTAAGTACTGTCTTCCACTTATCCATACCACTATCAAAATAATCCCATGAGGCAGGGGCAAGCACAGCCAGAGCTAATCAGAAAGTCATTGCATGCCCTAGAAACAGAACATCCTTCGGTGACCTTGTCAGAACCCCCCTTGACATTGATGCACAGCTGAATGCCTTACCAGAAAGGGCAGCCCATCTCAGTGCCAACAAGTATTTTAATATCCCTGTCTCCTCTGATTGGAGAGTGGGTGGGACATTCTCTGTTGGCGTTCTATGAAGAGACTTAACAAAAATAAGTAACTTTTGCCCTAGCCGGTTTGGCTCACTGGATAGAGCGTCGGCCTGCAGACTGAAGGGTCCTGGGTTCGATTCCGGTCAAGGGCACATGCCCAGGTTGTGGGCTGGATCCCCCAGTAGGGTGTGTGCAGAAGGCAGCTAGTCAGTGATTCTCTCTCATCACTGATGTTTCTATCTCTCCCTTCCTCTCTGAAATCAATAAAAAATAAATAAATAACAAGTAACTTTTATATTTTGTCTCCATTCTAGAAAACCAATTTCTTGGGGGCAATTCAAACAAGTTATCTTTGCTTTCTAAAAAAAAATGGAACACCCACCCTAGCCAGTTTGGCTCAGTGGACTGAGCGTCAGCCTGTGGACTGAAGGGTGCCAGGTTTGATTTCGGTCAAGGGCACATGTTTCTCTCATCATTGATGTTTCTATCTCTCTCTCCCTCTCCCTTCCTCCCTAAAAGAAAAAAGAAAAAAAAAAATGGAACACTCAATGAGCCGGTGAAAGGCACTGAAGAATAAATAGAATTTTTTATTTATTTTTATTTTTTAAAATATACTTTATTGATTTTTTACAGAGAGGAAGGGAGAGGGATAGAGTTAGAAACATCGATGAGAGAGAAACATCGATCAGCTGCCTCCTGCACACCTCCCACTGGGGATGTGCCCACAACCCAGGTACATGCCCTTGACTGGAATCGAACCTGGGACCCTTCAATCCACAGGCCGACACTCTATCCACTGAGCCAAACTGGTCAGGGCTAAATAGGATTTTTTATTGGTGGATGGACAGCCTCACAACCATGACTATGCTAAGCAGGACTGGCAGCACCTGGGAAAAATCCTAAACTTAAGAAAAACCTGTATTGACAATTGCCCAGGTTTCGATCAGTCCCAAAGCTCACAGTCCCATGGCTTCCTTCTTGCCTACTCAGCATCCTCGATGATGACCCCTCCAGATAGATGCTTAGGGGCTGAGGCCAGGGTATTCTGGTGCAAAAAGTAAGCAGAGGCCAAAGAGATTGAGCAGATTCCAAGGGTCAGGTTGACAAAGATGACAAAATCTAAAAGCTAAGGGATTGAAGGAGAATAACATTTTCCTCCCCAGACAGAAATGAAGAAGATTCCACTGAACAAGCTGTTCCCAAAGTATGATCTGGAAGCAGCAGTATTGTTACCCTCCAGCTGATCCTGAAGCAGTGGTTGGAGAACTACTGCACTAAACCAGAAAAAGTATTTGCATTTGTAAAGGAACTAAAGACATCCAGGTGACAGGCTAGGACCTATGGTTCTCAACCTTCTGGCCCTTTAAATACAGTTCCTCATGTTGTGACTCAACCGTAAAATTACTTTCGTTGCTACTTCATCACTGTAATGTTGCTACTGTTATGAATCATAATGTAAATATCCCCTGTGAAAGGGTCGTTCGACCGCCAAAGGGGTCGCGACCCACAGGTTGAGAACCGCTGGGCTAGGTGGAGGGGCCCATTGACTCCCCAGATATCTGGGATATCTGAGTGGGAGGGATCCATGAAGACAAGGCCACACTTATCTAGAAGGGAGTCAGCTCTAACTGGACTTCCTGCACGGATCCTGTCCCTCCGTCTGATCACCTGCAAGTCACTTCAGCTGAGTCTGAACCAAAACGGGGCCCTCTCACTAAGAGGTTCACCTACTCACAAGTGCCAACTCCTCTGAGCAGAGGTCAAGTATTTTAATATGTAAATAGGGTTTCTAGATGGCTAGTCAGAAAGTTCTGTTCTTTTGTTGGACAGTCAATCATAGACAAAATTTATGATATGGTTAAACACACTCGCAGCACCTTCTTCCTGGTACTCTAGTCGAAATGATCTTTAATACAAATAGTCTTTATTTTTTTAAAAAAAAAGAGAGAGGAAGTTAAGAACTGTGCAAAGAGATCAAAGAGATGAGGCCAATCATCAGAGCTGGGGGAGCTTTAGAAAAGGTAAAAACAAAATGGGTTCCCCTCACCCAGCCCCGCTCACTGTTCCTGTTCCAACTGCCCTGCCAACAGGGGAGGCAGAACACAGAGAGAGGCAGTGAAGAGCATTAAATAACGTGCTGCCCAGTATAGCAGCCACGAACCATCTGTGGCTCTTTCAATGAATTAGAATTTCAAAAATCAACCCTTCGTACGCCATACGCATCTATAGACGCAAAGATGGTTTCCGTTTTGGATGCGTGGCCGTTAACTGGTTAAAAATCCACTTGCTCAGTCACGCTAGCCACATCTCAAGTGCTCAGTGGCACCGGTGGCCCGTGGCTACCGCCTTGCGCAAGCTGATAAAGAACAGTTCCACTGCTGCGAAAAGTTCTATTGGACAGTGCTGAGTTGGAAGAACCTACACCTCTCTGCAAGTGGGGAAGAGGAGACCGTGTGCTTCCTTCATTAGAAGGCGACCTCCTTTTCTGTTAGCTGATGATCTGAAGATAAGATGCTGAGAGAAAGAACTACTGCCTTCCTGCCATAAAAAGGCTCAAAGGGCATCATTTTATGAAGTCAGAAAGGTTTCCTTTTCTTTATTGGCCTGAGAATCCGCTCACTTCCCTCCCCATAAGATACACTTAACAAATCTAAAGAGGCTGAGAATAATGACTGGTCTGTGGCGGTCACCCGTCGGCCAGATATTTCTGGTGTGGTGGCAACGAATGTCCCCTCTGTAGGAGGGCTCTCCTGGGGGAACCTTTGAGAGGGAGAACCCCCAAAGGGCCTGCCCCACAGGATCTCAAGTCTGCAGGAGCACCACCCCTTCAGGGTGTCCCTCCTGCATTGGAAGCAGGGGACCCAGGGAGCACCACTCACAGACCTCATCAAGTGGCCTACAAAGTTGACAGAGCCCCCTCCCTCCCCCCGGGGTTGTGAAAACACAGGCTCTAGTCATGGATCTGGCTTTGTGTCTTGCCTCTGGCCCTTCCCATTTCTGTGATCTAAGGCCAAGTCACTCTTTTTTTCAAAGCCCAATCCCATATGTATAAAGTGGAGATAACAGGAGAACCCAGCCTCATGGGGCTCACGTGAGGATAGAATGACAATAACCATAAAGTGCTTTTGCTCAGACAATAGGTCATCGCGTACCAGCTCCTCCTCCTGATGGTTACTTATCCCCTTCAACACAACATTACTGCTTTCTATGGGGGTTGGGAGGGGGGCAGTTCCTGGTGGTCCCGCTGGGCTTTAAGCCCTGAAGCAGAAAAGGCAGAACTTTGATTCCCAACAAGGATCAACGCACAATGCATAGTAGGTGTTCAGTCCATGTTTGAAGACTACCTTGATGGCAATCCCATCCTTGTACATGTTTTTCTATTACTGAGAAGATCCTTACTTGGATTTCACATTTCTTCTCCATCCACTTCTTTTATTGTGGGGATTCTGAGTACAAAACATGGCTCTAGAAGCCACCGAGGTATGAGGATAACTAAGCATGATTTGGGGGGTCAATGTGGAAACACACGGTGCCCAGTGGGATGCCAGCTGGGGCCGATGCCCCAAGCCTTGATTTTGATGTTTTCTCAACAGGTTCCCATCCCTGCGTGCAAAACCTTTTGTTTTAGATGGTCAAGGACAGAGAAGACCAATAACCACAAAAGCAAAGGGGCAGGTTCCATTTTCACGTGATGCTATGATGACAACTGTGAGTCAAAAGGGGCTACAGAGCGACCACAGTGGCGGGTGGCAGTGGCAAACCACAGTTGTGTATTCCACTGGCTCGCCATTCAGAGGTACCACTAACAACCAGTGCCCAGGAGTGTGGGCCCAGCCTCCTGACAACAGGCTTTCCTCAACAACCAGCATGTGTGAGCAGACCTCAAACCCCTCCTGCTGCAACACATCCCGACCCCAGGGCCTCATGCGCATGCTCCGGACCACGTGCACCTCTCCTGACGGAGGCCCCCACTCCGCTTCCAGGCACGGAGGGGATCACCATGCAGAGAGAGGTCAGGGAATCCAAGCTCCAGCTGGCTCGCCGCCCTCCAGACACAGAGGAGCAGTGTCTGCTCCTGTGGGGCCCAGAGCCCCCGGGCCGCTGAGAGAAGGTTCGGACCTGCGTGCCGCTGCCGCGCATGATGTCCTCCGGGATGGCGTAGATCTGGTTCTCCATCTCCACCTTCTGGAGCCCATTGTCCGTCACTCTCACCCAAAGCACGCGAAAGTTGGTCCCTCCAAGGTCCAGAGCCAGGAACTCTCCATGTTCTGCAGACAGGAAGGGCCACTCTTAGTTCGGAAAAGACAAGCTCAAACTGCTTCACAGAGACCAAGACTTAAAACCCACAAGTCCTGCCATAAACGGAGTCCTTAAAACCCATGAGATCATAAATACTGGTCATCTCTGGTAATGGGGTGTAGGACGGGTCCTAATTTTTTCTACACACATTTATGTACTGAGCCTTTTTCTTAATGCTAAGCACTTTTATATTACTTTTAGAATTCACATAAACCATGAGACAGTTTCACATCCAATGATGGGGCACCCACCCCCTCACAGAGCTATTTCCCAGGGTTTTCCAGCCAAGTCCCCTTCGAGCTCTTGGGGCCCATCCAGCCCTGCGCCAGGAGTCCCGGGCCTCCGTTTTGTTCTTCATGCCCCCAGGGTACCCAGGGTACCCAGCACGCTGCTACAGGCCTGGGGGCCCCTGGGCCTTCTGCCAAATTGTGATCCCTGTCCAGATTTACTTTTAACATTCGTGTACAGTGACAGCAATGTATGAGAGAGTCACATGATGGAGTGGGTGAGGCCCAAATGGCTATCAATTGAGGGGCCTAGCAAATAAGCTAAGCAGGTGCCCCTCAAAAAAATTCTAGGCTCATTCACATGTGAGAGAAAGCTGACCCAAGAGTATGTGAAACAAGTCAGGCCAGTGGGGCTGTTCCACTCAGACCAGCCACAGAGCTGGGGCGGCCGGGAAGAGGGAATCTCCACGGCACAGCGGATCAAGATCCTCAGGTGTCACCAGGAAGGCAAAGTCCCTGCCCCCTGGAAACAAGCAGTGCACACCGAAAACATCCCCATTGTAGGCGGTGATGCAGCTGGCTGCAGGGACCTGTTCCACTGTATGGCACAGAATGAAAGTGCTGAAGAGGCACAGAGGCCAGAGCCAGGGCTGGGGGAGGGAGCTGGGCTCACCCCTCGGCAGCCTCCTCCACCGTGAGGGCTCCACCCGCCTCCCACTGCCCTGCTGCACACCTTCTCGAAGGACACAGGGTTACTTCCTCAGGATTCACTGATTGGCATGTTTGTCAACACCACCCCTTCCCCGATGGTAAACTGCCACTGAAGTACGATGGAATAGGTTGGAGGGCCAGGGAAATGAACCACCCAGGTTTATAGTGTGCAAGCCCCCTCAGCAGCTCACTCTCAGGCCCTGAGAAAAGCCGTGTGTGTCCGGCTCCCTGAGGGCACGCCCCACGTCCCCAACAGCCCATGGGATGGACATGACCCACCAAGGTTCCCTGGGGATTCCCTCCACACAACCGTGGTCTGGTGGTTTGATACACAGAGAATGCCAGAACTGGAGCCCACATTCCTATGGCAGAACTCTGGCCCCGTTTTGGCCATGGCAACTTCCTGAGCCTCAGCTGCCTCATCTCTAAAATGGCAACATCAGACACTGTGGTTGTTGTGAGGGTGGGAAACTAGAAAATGTGTCTCAGGCGCCCAGCACAGGGCCAAGAACTTGAGACACACAAAATAAGTAAAAGAAACTTTCCAGGCTCCCAGCAAACACGGCCCGATGCCCACACTGAGCATTCCAGGCCCAGTGGTAGGGTTGCCTCTCAGACTGAACAGTCACATCAACATCGCGGGGGAGACTGAAGTGACCTGTCCAAGAAAAGCCACTGGAATCTGCTCCCGTGACGTGGGCATTCCTCCACAAGGGTGCAAACTTTCTGTCCCCTCCCTGGCATCTAGAACCCCCTCCTGCTTTACTACCTAGTTGTTAAGTAGCTGGGACAACGTCAGCCCCACCTGGGGGACTCTGCGCCCCACCTGGTCATGGGCGACACTTCAGGCACTCCATTCTGAGCCTCCCCAAGTAGCAGGACCTCAGCCAGATTGTAGGAAACGCTATGTGTGGTTGCATGAGGGATAAAAAAAAAAAAAAAAATCAAAGATGAACTGCCCGCATCAGCACTCTGCAGCCGGACCCATACCACCCGCTGAATGGGCAGCCACGGGGCACTGAGGCGGCAGAGGCTGCCGCTGGCTGGTCCCGACTCCAGGCCAGGCCAGCTCAGTTCACTGGAGGGACAGACGCAGCTCCATCAAAAATGGCGGTTTTGCCCTAGCTGGTTTGGCTAAGTGGACAGAGCGTCGGCCTTCGGACTGAAGGGTCCCGGGTTCAATTCCGGTCAAGAGCACAAGCCCGGGTTGTGGCCTCGACCCAAGTAAGGGGTGTGCAGGAGGCAGTTGATCAATGATTCTTTGTCATCATTGATGTCTCTCTTTCTCTCTCTCTCTCTCTCTATCTATCTATCTCTCTTCCTCTCTGAAATCAATTATATATATATATATATATATATATATATATATATTTTTTTTTTTTTTTTTTTTTTTTTTTTAAAGAATGGCGGTTTTGCAATAGTATTTTCTAATTGACTGAAGGGAAACCACAAATAATAAAGTACTGCCGATAGTTCTGTTCCCAGGTCAGAATGTCATCTTTGCTTTCTTTTCAGAATCCGCTGAAACAGACATTCCTCTGCATCCCTCCTCCCCAGCACCACCTCCACACGTACCACTACCACAGCCAAGAACTTTCTTCTTTCCAAAGTCTGCAACCTCGGGGCAGGCCCAGCACCACAATTCCTGGAGTTAAATCTTCAGGTGACCCCTTGAGGCCGTGAACAGATCCCTCTCCTACTGCTCACCTCCTCGCCCCACGTGGGACAGTGGCTAAGAGCTGGGCCTTACAGCCGGGTGGGCAGACTTCGTTTTGAATTCCAGCTCAGCACTGTCACCTTCCCTGTAGAATGGGGCTCATAATGCTGACTTCTCCTGGGGGTCGTGAAGCTTCCATGAAATACAGGACATATTATATGTGAATATATAGGGACATAGTAAGCCGTCAATAACCCTCATCGTTATTATTACTTTGTGTGACTATGAGCTCCCCCCCTAGTTCTTTTCAACCCCTCCAATCCCTACCTACTCCTATTCCTACTCCTGGCTCAAGGCCTATCTCCACTGTGACCCTTCTGGGACATTCCAGAAGCCCAGAACGGACAGTGAGCATGTGATGGGGCATGAAGGAGGATTGCATGTAGGGGCCTGGGACAGTCACACTGGACAGGTAGGAGCAAGGCTCTGGGGAAGGAAAACATGCCAATATCAGGTTTCTTAAGAAGGTACAAGGCCCCCTGGCTGGTTGTCATCCCCATGCACCAAGAGGTCGCCGGTCTGATTCCCACACAGGGCACATGCCTGAATTGCAGGTTCAATCCCCAATAAGGGGCGTGCAGGAGACAGTCAACTGAAGGTTCTCTTCATCGATGTTTCTCTTCTCCTTCTCCCTCCCCTTCTCTCTCTCAAATTAATAAAAACCTATTTTTTTTTTTTTTTTTTAAAGAAGAAGGTATAAGGCCACATGGCAGAGGACCCAGTGAGGCCCAGAGAGATCATTCCGAGTGATCGCAGTTGGTATTTGAGGCAATGTACGAAGAAAACATCTCATACTGCATTTGCTCATTGTTAAACGAAATGTCTGTGTCAAATGTGGGATTTATGCGAGACCCTGAGGTCAGAGGTAAGGTTTCCTTTGTTGTTAAGTGTGCTGTTGTGTCTTGGAAACAATTTTACCTTTTTAAAAATAACAAAATACAAACATCTGATAAGGAAAAGCTCAGATGGTGGAAAAGTGGAAAAATGAAAACCAAACGTCTCTTTTCCTCTCTACACCCAGAAAGTGATCACTATTAATGCTTACTGGGTGTCCTTAGATACAGTTATTTTATCAAGACAGAGAAGGCTGTTAACTGACAGTCCAAGAAAAGAGTTTGAATTTCTGGTTCTAAGGGTGTGTTTTTAATTTGGAAGATATCGCCAATGACCCTCCTGAAAGTTCTCTCCAATTTCCAGACAAACCAGCAAGTGGGATTCACTCCCACCAGTGGCCCACATTATGCAGCAATTCATCTTTGCCAGCCTCCTAGGTCTAAATGGCATATCCTTTTTTAAACTTGGTTTCCTTCTTTTGTGTGAGGTTAGACATTTCGAATTATTAAATGGCCTTTTGGATTCCTTTTTCTGTGCATTTTCTACACACATCTTTTGCCTTTAAAAAAAAAAAAAAGAAATATTCATCATTTTCTTAATAACCTAAAAGAGCTCTTTGTATATTAAGGAAAATGGTTTCATTGGTTATATATTTGCAATTATTTTTTTCCAGTGATACTTGTCTTTTAATTTTGTTAGTGGTATTTCTGCCATTCAGAAATGTTTATTTTTTATGTTGTCAAAATATTTCTGGTTTCTGGGTTTTAGGTTATGTCCCAAGAAATTCTGAAGATTACATTAGCTCACCCTCTTTCTAAATCTTTCTGATTCCTCCAAATGTGGTCACCACCACTGCTAAAGAAAAGGAAGCAAGGTTTCACCATCGGTTTGGTTAAATGATAAAATTCATCTTCCACTTTACGTGACTGTTTTGAAAAACGAAGCGAAGAACCATGTCTTTGTCTCTCTTGTCCCTAAAACAGAGTTCAAACTTTCTCCCTGGCATCTGGATAATTGTGAGAATAAAACAATGGAAGACAGAGGCAGGTATGCAGGAGATGTAGTTGATCAAAGGCTCAACATGCAGGTGTTTTTTAATGGATGAGAAACTAACATTTGTTAAGTGATGGTCAATTTGTCTATAAACTTTATCTCGTCTATCCTCAACAACCCTGTTGGGCATTGTAATCCCAACTGTATGGATAAGAAAACCAGCCTTCAACTCCAGGTCTGGCTCTCCAGCAAAGCTGTCTCCAGCAATGAGCCAGGAGGCTGCCCAAGGGGAAGTTGTCAATCCTAAATAAGGAAATCTTCACTCACTACGCCAAGAGCATAAAACCCAAAGGTTACCAGCAGTCTCCAAGCTGGCCTGGGGGGCAGAGGAAGTGACACTGTGGTTCATAAATTGAATGAATCACTTAGTTAGGGTCATGCAGGGGTCAATGGGAATTGGCTAACGCCAAAGCCCATGCCTGTCTCT